TATATATATATATAGAGCAAAACTAAAGTGGAGCAGTGCAAAACTAAGATGGCGCAGTGTAAACTCAAATGCGTGTGCTTAACTTTTGCACTGCGCCACTTGTGGTTTGTTCTTTTGGCGATATCACATTAAAAGGACAAACTAAAATCGGCAGTTCAAAAGTCAAGTTGCTCAGTGCGAAGTCAAGCGGTGGCACAAGCATTTTCAGTTTGCCCTTGCACCACTTTTGTTTTGCACTGCGCAACTTGACTTTTGCACCGCCACTTGTAATTTGTCCTTTTTTCGTTCCATACGAGTCGGCCCGGCCTACGCCAAACAACTTCGGTCGAATGATCTGCCCGCGTTAGCTCTGGCAACTGTGACCGAAAAATATAATATAAATAACGTTCTAAAATCTACATCTTATTTTCCGATCAGCACCAAATTCGATGACCAAGGTATATGTAATATTGTAATTGTGTAAAAATTTGGCGAGAATCAGTCCATAGTTCTTGAGCTTTGTGCCCTGAAGGACACACACACACACACATCACAGATAGACAGACACACACACCACAGCAGACACACAGACACATACCCTTTTCCTCTCCTTCAGAGAGGCAAACAAGTATGTGTCTAATACTGTAAATAAGAGGGTACTTTAAAATAAGAGGGTAATACTGTAAATAAGAGGGTAATAAGCCAGTAAGTCAGTTAATCGATTATAAAGACAGTGAATCAGTCGGTCGGTTTGTCAGTCTCTACGTTATTCAATCAGTCATTGTGTTTGGCAAATACATGTAGGCTTACTCACGGCTATAACCTGAGTGACCGCTTGTTGGTCCAGTGCCAGTTGATGGTGTGGAACCGTATATCCGTGTCCAATCGAAATCGTCATAAGAATCTTGATACCAACCTCCCCAACCATATTGGAAGTTAGTTACTATGAAAAAAATGAAACACGGAGAAAGCGTTACCACAGAACAGTTAAATTGAGGTTACAAAATCAATAGAATCCTTCAACGGTCATGTTAACCTATAGTTACACATTTATGCTTCATCTTTTTTTCAATTGGTTGGTTTTCTTCGAAGAGATAACCTAATTCACCATAGTAAGAAGACTTATTTACAGTTTAGGGTGGTGAATTAAAAATTAGAATGAGCAATTATATATCTTGGTTAGTAAGACAGATGTATATAATATTTAATATCATTCTTCTTGCTAGCCACCTTTACATTGGCTGTATAATCAGTTTATTGATTTCTGTATTAAAAATCTAAATGTCTCATAAAAGGTTGATTACTAATTGGACACATGTAAATAAGAAATTATACGTCTTAGCTACCCTATTTCTCTCGATTTTACTACAGACGTTAAATTGTATTTTTGTAGCAAATCTAAAAATAATGCTCTTCACTTATTGTGATGCAATGTGCAGCTGAGCGTGTAGGACAACGTCACAATACCAGTAGTACAATTTATGACGTACGGTATGCATATGATAAGCTAGACTTGCCACAAGTCTCTAATTATAGGTTTTCCTAATATTATCTAATTTTGGAGAGTGCCACCAGCGTCGGTATATATCGACAAACTTTTATGCGAATTAAAGAAATCCAAAAAAAGTATACTATGAAACGCCAAGCAAATAGTTAATACGGAACGCCATTGGTGCCAAAATCGATTTGCCCAGTTTTTTTTACTGATTAAGACAAAGTTTAGGGACTGGAACCCAGTCTAATGATGAGCCAACAACTGCAAAACCTTTATTAGTTTAATAAATAATCAGCAATGTTACACATTTATTAAATTGTTGTACAAATTGACTTTATTTACAGGTAGACCTAGTAAGTTATTTGAAGTAATAAAATAGTAGTACAGTAGCTAAAATAGTCGTTTCTTTTATAACATGTCGTCTTATTGGTTGTCTCATTTTGAAATGAGATTTTAATGGCAAGTGTAGCCATTATGTACATGTACATAGATTTATGATCGAAAAATAATCCCCTTATTTTTAGCTTTTTTAAATAATTGTAAAATTATAGAGAAGCAATACAGAACGTACCTATATTTGAGTCCATCGATGCTGTTAAATCAGAACGACCGGTTACTTCCATCGAAGTTGGTGGCCATGGAGTGCTACCTTTAGTAGTTGGTATATAAAAAGATGTTGTTAGGTCTTGTGTTTAGTTGTTGGTTGTGACGTAATTTATAAAAGCCCTCACAATATTTCTAGATGTGTATAAGAGACAGATATATATACATACTCCTAACTGACACCTAGGGAGAAAAAGCCTTTGTCTATATTTCGCATTAACGTCAATTTAATGTTAATGAGTTACGAAATTATATATTTATAAATATGACAAAACGAATATGAATGATAATCAAGCTGTATAGAATTGATTGCAGTATTAGAAAATATTCTTTTTGAATAACAAAATCAAATATACCTTCGACACTGATGAGTATGTCATCAATTGCTATGTCCCCTGTATATGATATTCCGTCAGACGCTTCGAATACGATGTAATTGTCGCCATTTCCATCACGCTGGAAGTATACTTTGGCATAATGCCACGAATTCCCTTGGTTACCAGATCTTGACCATAGAGAAGTATGCCTAGGACTATAACCGTAGATGGATTTTCTGTAAACCCTGAGTGTTCCCATTTTGGCTCCGTACATATGGTAGTAAAACTCCAAACTGTAACGTTGCGCCAATGGTAGCAATGGACTCCGTAGACGAGCCGACATTTCACTAGATACAGGATTCGAAGTTTCAATATAAGCATAATAATCCTCTAAAACAATAGAAAGATCAATAATTGATTACATAATCAATTAAGCAAGGAAAGATAAAAGATTTGAATCAATAAAACAAGGATAAATGAATGAATTTATATATTTACTTAAACAATCAATTAATTAATAAGTAAATAAATATATAAGTATGAATAAATAGATTAAATAATTGAAAAAACGAACCGATTGATTGGATTTCGATTTTTCAGAGTGAAGGATAGCCCACAGAAGTCCTAAGACATATTTCTAGTGGTGAATTGGGTAGTTCACCGGGGTTAATCAAACATTGTACTGTTCTTTAATGTCCACATGCACCAACGAAACCCGAATGAGGGTGCGCTATCGTAACCTGCATTTCAGCCACCATTTGAAACACAAGGAGAAAAGCAGATGGAATTGAACCGGGAGAAGTTTATGTAAAAATTTCCCGGGTCCTGTGCACTCAAGAGTCTCACCAATTTAGCCGACTCGGCTAAGCTACTTTCGAAAATGTCAGACTGACGAACTGACAGAAAGATAGGCAGACAAATAAACAAAAACACAAATAAGCCAGTTAGTCATTTACTGTACTCGATTAGAAAGCCTGCAAATTAGTCAGTCGGTTTGCCAGTCAGTAAGTTAGTCAATCAGTCATGGTGTGTTTCGCAAATAGATGTAGGTCTATATACTCACGGCTATAACCTGAATGACCGTTAGTTGGTCCAGTGCCAGTCGATGGTGTGGAACCGTTTTTTCTTGTCCAATTGAAATTGTCACCAGTTTCTTGATGCCAACCTCCCCAGTCATATTGGAAGTTAGTTGCTATGAAATAATGAAAGACAAGGAAAGCGTGAGAAAAGCAGTTAGATCGTTAAACTGTCCTTTTAACTTATACAGTATACGTTTTACACTTATGCTTCATCTTTTTCGTTTGGTTGGTTTTATTTGTTGAGATAACCTAATTCACCATAGTCAGAAGACTTACTTACAGTTTCTGGTTTCGGGCGGTAAATTGAAAATTTGAACGAGCAGTTATCTATCTTGGTAAGTACAACAGATGCATGCAAGTATTTTAAATTACAATTCTTCTTTGTATCAACCTTTAAATTGGCTGTATAATCAGTGTACCGATTTCTGTATTAAAAATCTAAATGTGTCATTGAACGTTGATTGCTTATTCGGCGACACATGTAAATAATAAATCAGATGTTTTATCTAGGTTTTTTTAGATTTCTCACAGACGTTGAACTGTATTTTGTAGGAAATTTAAATATGCTCTTTACATCTTCGTGGTGCAACCGTGCAACATGTAGCTGAGTGGGCAAAGCAGCTTCACGGTACAAGTAGTACAATTTATGACGTAAGCAAGTGATGCGTCAACTACTAAAAATTCCTTTTAAAACATTTATTAGTTGAATGGATAATTAGCTATATTAGACATTTATCATATTCCTGTACAAGGTGACTTTTTTTGCAGGTAGACGTAAACTCGTAGTAGGTTATTTGGTGAAATACAAGTCTAAAGTAGCCGTCTCTTATGACATCTCGTCGTATTATTGTTTTTCGCCTTTTTAAAAAAAACTTTTTCTCATGTGATTGAATGGTAAGCGGCGCCATTATGTACCTCTACATATATCGATGATGGAAAAATAATCGCTTTTAAGTTTAGTATATTTAAATACGTTAATCAATTACAAAATTATAGTAGAAATAAATCAAAACGACCAACATACCTATTTTTAAATCCGTCGATGTTGTTGAATCAGAACGACTGATTACTTCAAATAAAGCTGTTGCGCTAGTGCTACTTTTAGTCGTTGTTATTTCAAACGATGTTGTAAAGTCTTCTTTTGAGTATGGTTGCTTAGTTATTGGCTGTGACGTAATTTCAGAGGTTGTAATATTAGTTGTAGTTGTATGAAGTGGTTCTGTTGTTGAGTCTGTTTTTTTCTCAGTAATCATGTGATAAGTGGTTGCATCATGTGTTGTTGTGACGTCTTTCTCCGTCGAGTAACGTTGTTCGGTTGTGACATCAGCCGGAGTTTCAGCTAGTATATTAAAAAAAAAAGTTGTAATTTTTGCAACCCTCCGTATGAAATTTCTTGATAATTAAATTTTTCAACGATTGAAATGTTATGTAGGCCTACAGTGTCAAGTTTAAACCTCTTTTATTATGCAATCGACAGGGTAGTTTAATGAGATGCCCTTTGTTTGAGCTAAGTCTCAGTTTAACTTCTTTTTACACGAAAGCCCTTAAAATATTAAATCAAACTTATTTGCTTACAAATCAAAATTAGAACATTAAAAATTGAAATTGATCTCGCCATGTCAAACAGGCGCATATATTACCGTTGTTTCCTGGTATGCATAGCCGTCTACCAGGATGTGTGTGTATGCAGGTGGATGATCGAAAAAAACTCTGCTTTAATTTAATATTAATTCTACTAAAAATCAGTTACGAAATGATAGAAATATAAATATGACAAAACGACGAATAGACTGTACCTATATTTGAGTCAGCCCAAGTTGTTAACACTGAAGAAGTTGTAAGATGAGCCAGAGTTGTATGGAGTGAATCTGTTGTAATAAATATTAAAATGAAAAGGAATTGGATAGTATGTTAATTCAATTATTGTTTAAAAGCTTTGAATTTTACTTTCATTTTCTTGTGTACGATAGGTCTCCAGTGCAGCCGGATGAAAAGGCCATGTGGGCAGTCAAATTCCTCATATAAACATTTCCTTTATTCATGGCAAAATTAATGCCTTATGCCAACTTTATTTTTGTACACATTTTCATGGTTTAGCGCAAACAGTAGTTATTATCGGTTTTCACTAACAGGTTTCGTTTTCGTTTCTCATGTTCATAAATTGAAAGTCTAATGGAAGGGATACTAGGAAATCAGGGTTTATGCAATGAAGTAAATTAGAGTTACCTAAGAATACAAGATGCAGCTTGTGTTATGCACTTTCTGAAAATAAGGTACAGATATAATTTGTTGGGTTTTTTTTTTTTGTTTTTTTTTTCATCTTCATTTGAAATTTTGCCTGAGCCTCAGTTTGTTCTTTTTTTTTTGTTCTTATGAAATGTGTTCTTATGAAAAATAGTGTATTATCTGAATTGTTTAACCCTGGCCCATTCAGTAAAGCGAAACATAGCCTACCAGTAACACGTTAATTTTGGTTTTATATTTGTACCACATTACAGTACAAATAACGGTAGTGCATCGTGAGTGGATTTCCCGTACGATTAAAAATCGTAACGGTACTGGGTTTGGTCTACAGGAGTTCGTGCTTCGAACAGGTCATTCCATTCATAAAAGAAGCCTTTTGATGGAGAAAGTGTACCTTTCTAGCAAACTCCGGCTATATAAAATTGATTATAAGATAGTAAAATATTAATCTTGTTATTGTACTACTAGTGGTAGTGACAGATACTATGTACACGTTTAATTATTGATTATTTATTCGTTATGCCATTATATTTACATTTAAAATTAATGTATTGTTTAAGTATGTATTATTAGTTCATGTAAAAATTAATGTTATCAATTAAAATGTTATATTTTAAATAATATAATAGACATAGTCGAGGTCTGGCCTAGGCCTAAACGAGTGACTATAACATGTGAGTGTAACATTATGGAAAATATGAATAAAATGTAAAAATAAAGGAAGAAGGAAGAATAGGAAAGAGATTTGGAGCGGCTGAAATATTTCCGAAAATATACAATAGTAGTCAATATGCTATTATTGCATTACGTTTTTGTAAACAATTTTGGGCACTAATCGTCTGTGGTCTCGGTGCCACAGCCTACACTTTTCATAAGTCAAGTACTCAAATAAAACCCCTGGATGGATAGATCATGGAGGTATAAATACATGTGGATAAAATGTCTTGTCAAGCAAAATGCTCAGTGAAGCTTCTAACCCTTAACCTTAAGGTTGTGAGCCCGAATCGCAATGCATAATAAAGAAATCAATAGGGCTTAAAAGATAAGACATTGAGTTTAAAAGGCCCTAGGCCCCAGGTCCTTAAGGTGTGAACAACCTCGTATATCCTGGTACTAGAGGAACTTGCAAAGCCTAATCGCTTTCCCTCAGACTCTCCTTTTCCTCTCTCCAGGTCCATTTAGCTTTACACGAGCCGCATTAGATTGGATTTTAACAGTTTTAGGTACTGCTTTAGGTACTTTTCGGTTTTTGTTAAAAATAAATCAAAAATTGACAATTAAAAAAAACAATAGTCAATAATTATCGCCTCTTAAAACCTTTATTGAGGGGCTCGTTGGCTGTTTAATTTTTCTATTAAAATTTAAATTGGAAAAAGTTTTAATTTTAGAGGACTATTATTGAAACGGGCTCCTAATGGCCCTTGGCCCAAGTGTTTTGCACTGGCTGCATTACACATACCTACACCAATGGTAAGATGCCCACGCGTATCACCTATATATGCCACTGTGGGAGACGAATAATATTGGAAGTGTGTACATGCACAGAAAGGAATTCTCATCCAAGATAAGAGCAAAAGGAACGGTTCGTAATCCGTGCCTGTTAGATCACAATATGAGTATTGCAAGCGTTCCGAGGGTTTACAGTATTATAACTAATGCCTAATATTGGTACTGCCCTAACAATAGATTAGTTGTTAAAATATAAACATTTGTAAAAGATTTTTTTTTTAAATCACAGAAAATCACAATTTTTTATTCAGTACATTGTCGACTGTCATGTAAATGTGAATCTTTTCAAATGTAGTGGGGTACGTACGCACCTATCCCACTACCCCACACACTGGATATGCGGGCTTAGTGAACTTTACACTTTAAGCCCTACTTGATAATTAATGTACTTTTATATATTTTCGTGAGGGCGTTTCGTTTCTTCGGTAATAAGCAAAACGGTCGGCTATTACTGCTTATGAATTTCAGTTTGTACAACAAGGAATATGGGAATCAGATTGTAACGTCGCTCTTTCTAATGATCAAAGAACATTATCGGTGAGGCTAAGTTTGTTTTTTTCAATGATTAAGTCTATTTTGAGCTACTTTTTTTGCTAGGCCCTGTTCGAAACTAGCGCCAAAATAATATATCGGCAACCTGTCATTCTCAGCCGTTACGCTCTAGCAAGCACCGGTGACAGTTTGACAGTTCTTTATATACAGTCACCATAACCGAACTGAAGGATATTTCAATCTATTGTTTGGATCAAAAGTTTTGTTACTGTGGTCGTGGTATCACTATGAAGCTAAAGTTTCTGATCCTATTTCTACTAATCTCGAGTCCCTCACAATCAGCTTCTCTCAAAATTCTCAGTTCATTAATCAATACAAATAAAGCATATCGGAACCAAAGGGCAAACAAGATTAAATATGGGGCACCTTGTCTGTACTACAATAACTATACTGCTACCTTTAATGGAACACTCATTACGGCAACAGACATAGAGTCAAACCCCGGACCAATCAAGAATCCATGCTTAGTTTACGAGTGTCCTGTGGCAAAATTCAGTGTAATACATGGGCAAAGGACTGTCATAAAATGCGGCCGCATTAGTCCAAAAGAATTCAATTCGAGAATCAATTTTCGAACTGGATCTGCCCACGTTGTTTATTCTTCAAATTACTCCATACCAGGATAATGAAATAAATATCATATGCATCGCTAATACGGTACCAACACCACTGAACATTACTCCAAACTCCAATGACTTTTCAGTTTTTGAAAACAAAGGTCTTAAACTTACTCATTTGAATGCTAGATCACTTCTACCTAAACTGACAGAACTTAAACTTACCCTGAGACCAAAACAGACGTTATCAGCATTTCTGATACTTAGCTACAACCTTCCGTCACACCCAATAAAATCAAAATCAATGGTTATAGCGCTGTGAGACGCGACAGAAAGTCTGACGCTCATTGTGGAACTTTAATTTACGTTAACAACAGACTTATATTCAATGAAGTTCCTGCTTTAATGAACAGTAATATTGAATCAGTATGGATCAATATTTTATTACGAAAGACCTAACCCATTCTCATAGGATAATATCGACCACCAAAACAGCACAGCTTTGTCGAAGATTTTACCACCCTGATTAGCCAAATAGAAACAAAAACGATATCATTGTCATGGGTGACTTCAATATTGACTTATTAGATCGTAAAAATTACATGACAAAGCATTACGAAGACTAGCTTAAACAACCTAGGTTTAAAGCAAGTTATTAATGCGGCAACAAGAATTATACCGACAACATCTACGTTAATTGATCACATATTATGAAATGACGAAAATGTAATAACACATAGTGGTACCCTTCTAACACATATCACATATTGTGTCCGGAAAAAAGATTGGAATCAAAATTAATCAGCACAAGTAAGCAGAGATACTCTCATTAAAAGACTATACACCTGAATCACTCAATTCGATATTGTCTGATATAGACTGGTCTGATGTATATAATTCAAAGGATGTCACAACGGCGTTAAATCATTTAAATGCGTCTGTACTATCATCAATAGACAAAATCGCTCCGACAAAACGTATACGCATAAAAGCGAGAACCGAAGAATGGTTAACTGGAGATTCCTAGTTTGATAAATGAATGTGAGAGGCTACTCAATATTTTCAAGAATGACAAAACCCAAACCAGCAATTATGAAAACTTTGTCAAACTCAAATGGCTATTAAAAATACCAAAGCAGACTTCTTTAAAAATAAAATCTCAGAAAATAAATCGAATCCTAAGGAACTCTGGAAAACTTTAAAAAATCTAGGTTACAGTAAGAAAATTAAAAGTGATGCAAATATTATGTTAATTAAAGGTGATACTACAATACATGCCCCTAATGACATTGCTACTGAATTCAACAAATTCTTCACCAACATTGCCCAAGATCTTAAAAATAAGTTACCACCTCAAAGTTGTACTTTTCCCTAACTCCAACAATTTCAATACATTCTACGACAAAAATGATAATAGATTTAAACTTGAGCTGGTGTGTGAAGACTTTGTTGAACAGAATTAAAAATCATTAAGCCCAAATAAAGCTACGGGACCTGCCCATATTCCATCTCGTTTCCCAAGAGATGGAGCAGCTATTCTTAAAAGTCCTTTAACATATATTATCAATTTTTCTATAAAAACAGAATCGGTACCAGATCAATTTAAGCTTGCCAAAGTTAAACCTATATTTAAAAAGGACGATCGCACTGATGCAAATAACTACCGTACTGTTAGTCTATTAAATTGTGTCTCTAAGATCTTAGAAAGAGCTGTGTATGTCCAATCGCACTAAAACACATTTATTTAGCAGAATGTGCAGTAGATAAGATTAATTTCGAAGTAACTTTAGCTTAATGCCGATTAAATAACTGAATTAACTGTCTTTTAAAAATGTTAATGTTAACTGATTTGATACTCAATTTTAATGTAATAATTTTCTAACAAATTGTAAATATATTGATGATAATAATAAAGTAATAATATTAATAAAAATTATAATATTTTATTGATGTAAATTATAACAATTGCAATAATGATTTTTAATGATTCATCTTTTAATGGTTTTCTGGTAGCTTTTTTAGTTTTTTTTCCCTTTGGTTTTCTTTTTGCGCAATTGTGCGGTTAATTGTATTTACTGGTCCCAAGTGGAAATAAGGTAACTTTTCTTGGTATTCCTTGTAATCTAGGTCTGTTCTTCCATTGCGCAATTTTAAATTATTATTGTTTGAATGTATCTTTATATCAATTTGTATGTTTGTTTTTATACTATTTTATGACCTTGTTTACTAAATAAACTCAAACTCAAACCCTTATCAATTAGATTCAATTTTCCAGTATTAATTTTTGATTCTTTTCCACTTCCAATGCTGTTTGATTTGAAATTCATATACCATTATCGTTGCTCTTCTTTAGATAAACTGTCATTTGCTTAGTACTAGAGGGTCATGTTTTACTTTCTTATCAGATGCATGCAATTTCAAGTTTTTTGTGTGTTCGTAAACTTTAAGCTCCAGGTCTACAATTGGGCTACCCTCTCCAATAAAGACCTGTTTTTTCATAGCAGTCGTTAAAATAATAGAAAATGATAATTAATTAAATAGTAATATTAATAGTTAAACTAATAGGTTTTCGCTATAATAATTTTGGAATAACAAAAATATAATAAAATATATATATGTACCTTTCATTAGGTTATAAGATTCAACGCACACAAATATATATCCCCCTGTGATTGATTCTTGATTAAAAATACATTGTGACATAAATCAAATACAAAACTCAACAGTCGATGTTATCACATCGTGCCGCGCGGCCGATTCAATTACAATCCCTTTTTTGTGTTAACAGCTAGACAATTCAATGTATTGCATTTATTTTATCTATATTTTTTTGTCTTTGGTCGATAGAAGGTGGTATTTCTGAATGAAGCGGATAGTTGAAGTTCGCCAGACCACCAAGCGCTGCAATCCTTTTATATTTTTGAAAATATTTACCTCTCACCCTGAACCTTCGCTTTGGAAAACGGTGCGAAGGCTTGAATCCGCGCCTGATTTAGTCTTCCTGTTATTAATGCGGTATATAATATTGTTTTAGGTAGCCTTATTGTATTTTATCTTTGTAGGAGCATATTGTAAAATATCATTACTATCTCGTCTGTTATGCTATCCTGCCTACATATGTTTAATGAATAAATAAATAAAAAATAACTACTGCTTTGCCGATAGATTGATGGTGAATAATAATAACAATAAAGATAACAATTGGAGAGTGTAGACCTTGATTGAAAGTAATATTGGCCTAATAACAAGTGCGAGAAATACATGAGCTACTGTAGGCCCCACAAATTGACCAATAACGACAATAAAGTCTTAACACAATAAATATATGCAAAATATAAAAGTATAAAGATAATGTTGAAAGTCACCTACTTGCTGTAAAACACAGAAAATAGAGCCATGGAAACCAGATGTATGCTTTCCTCATTTTCAAGATAGTCGTTTACAGTAGCGGTGTGTGCTGACGTATGCACATAATAGGCACCGATATGTTGTATATATATACATATAAAGTTATTCATGCGGAAGTATAAGTGGGTACCTAAGGAGGTTCGAGTGCAAAATCCGCTGATATATTTCATGCAGCAAACTATGGAATTTCGCCAATAGGCATCGTTCCAACGATTATTATTATTGTTATTATTATTATTATTATTATTATTATTATTATTATTATTATTATTATTATTATTATTATTATTATTATTATTATTATTATTATTATTATTATTATTATTATTATATGTATTTTATTATTGCATTAGGCCTAATATTATGATGTGTATAAGAGACAGATATATATATGCATTTGTACTCCTGGGTTGAGAGAGGCAACCGTAGGACACAAGGACACAAGCGATTTGCACAGCATTATGTGACTTTTAAATAAAATACAAATACAAATACAATTTAATGTAAAAAAGTAAAACAATTTTAATTTAAATTTTCAATAAAATGTCATGGCATGTAAAAATCAAATGTAAATTGAGTTTCTGTTTTATATTGTGTGTGTATGTTTTTTGTTTATCATTTAGGCCTATACATTGTATCTTTGACACCAAGAATTACTATCTATAACCAAGTCTAGCAACATATTTTATTTTGTTAAAGAGAAAAACACAAAAAATAAACCAAACAACTATCTTGAACTAAAAGAAACCTCACCTCTGCCACAGAAAGGCATTACTAATTAATTTAACATTAAGCCAAAGGATAAAAGAAACAAAGTTGAGAAAATAGGCCTATATAAAACTAATAGTTTACTAAACCATACACATTAATTCAGCTATTATCATTTTGTTTATTAGTAAAAACGTAAAATTTGATATATTTTAAAGATAAGTAAATTGACAGTCGTTACTTGATTATGTTAAAACCTTCAAAACCAGCTCTTCAGTCTGTATCATTACAATTACTTTACAGTCAAATTTCATTTTTAACCCTATCACTGAAAATAATAGAAACTATGAAGCTTCTAAACGTTGCTGGAATTTTTGTAAGAGACAAATCAGATGACATTTCCAATACAGTTAAAAACGGTAGGCCTAGTGTATAATTATTACTCTACATTACATTTTTCTGTCTTACTTTTATCCAATTCAACCTGAATGACCGGACCGGAAATCTCAGTCTCTGTCAATGTAGGCCTATACGTAAAACTACTAGGAGTTACATGCCAGAAAATACTGTAATCAAATAAACCTAGAACTTTGTATCTTTGGATAAAACCAAAAAAAAATAACCTAGAACTTTGTATCTTTGGATAAAAAAAAAAATAGTAAAACTGGATAGATAAATATATATCAGTCGATAATTTAGCATGTTAAAGCATTAGTGTGAAAGAATGTAGATAAAACATGGAAAATGAACATATATTAGGCAGCATTTTAGATGTCTTGCTCACCGCCAATCAGCGGTTTGTACCCTAAGCTACTTTTACGGTTTTTGACGCTTCGTGCCAACGACACACATTCCACTAAAAACATAATCACACCAACTAACATCATGACGTTTCCTCCCGTGCTCGTCTTCTTGGCAGATTTATCTGGAAATAGGAGCAAAATCATAATCAGGATTAAAATATTGTAATTTCATTTCGAAGATATTTAATCAAATAAACGCCCCGCTTCGAATAAATTCCGGTAAAATCTTCCCCATACAGAACTTTATTTGGAATTAAACGCCCCAGTGCATTTATTTTCGTCGAAACAACGCCCTTCCAAATCATTACAATCAAACCTAATTTAGGCAACACCATCTTATAATCAATGTTATTATGCATTACAATTACAATTACAATTGTATTATGTCATATTACTTCCATTTTGTTCTTTCATCAACAAGTAGTATGTAACTAACCAGGATCTTATTGAAAAACAGTGTTTCCTTTAAAGGTTTCTGTATGCTGTACATTGGAATATGATATCCTATATAAATATATTGCAAATAAAAAATCTATCGGCACGAGGATGTCATGTCATGTGAAATTACAGGTACTTATTCACCCATCTATTTTTTTAGAATTTTAAATCCATAGAACAGTAAAAAAGAACATGGCGATCAAAGGCAAAAGATAAAGTAAACACAATTTGCTGTATCCACTGTACACAAAAGCATTTTCTAAAATTTAGTTAATTATTGACATATGCACAAACAATAAGTGGAAACCCCACAATCAACAGAAGGAAATGTGACTCCCGAAAATATTCAACATAATTAAACAAAACATCATCAACTTAAAAGACAACTTCGACTACACTACCATGTTATTTTCAATTTGATAATGTGGATAGCGCCTATTTAACATTTATTAAACATGGTACGCACCTATTTGACCGAAAGACACGTCATCATTATGTTTAAGTATTATTGGACCTAGCATGACCGGGTATGTGTCCTGTTTCAGTTCCGTGTTATCAGCACTTCGTTTCATACGCTGGTTACAATAAGACGAGCATCGCCAGTCAATAGAATTACATATTGACATGTTGCAGTGCAGAAATACCTGTAATATAAATTTTATATTACATTTTATATTACATATGCCATTTTTATTATTACAGGTATCCCCCCAATTAAAGACCACATTTGGACCAGGGTTTTCATGGTCTTTAGCATTCTTTATTTAGAAAAATAACTATTATTAAAGATAACGTATTCATCCATTTGTGCATACGAAAACAGGTGGTCTTTAATTGGAAGAGTCTTCTATTTATTAAATATTAACAAAACGATGCAACAAATGTACACGCGATGCTGCATACATTTGGTACTGATGGCAGTTGAAAGTTTTTGGTATTAAAAAATGTCTTCTACATTTATTTACCGTCGAACTGTATCCAACGAATCCAAAGGTATCGAACGAAAACAACACATTTTTTGCTGATTCACCGACCACTCCCAAGAAATAAAAAATTAACGATGGATCGTCCTTTGAACACCTAAATAAGAGTTGTTAAATAATTAGTTTAATTAGGCTAATTATAATGAAAAAAGTAGAGTAGTAATAATAAAGATTAAGCGAACTTTATGTGCTAGCAAAAGAAAAATCGGTCTATGTATTTGATTTTTAACAAATAATGACATATCTAAGCCATAGAAAATACCTACCGCTGATCAATTAACTTAAAATTTGACTCTGTATCTGCTTCTTGTGTTGGTGATGCAATGCAGGAATCGATAAAAAGTGTCATCTCTGTCGAGAACGTTTCAACTTTGGCACCAATATATACCCTGTTGCCAATATCTAACGTAAATGGATAACTCAGTGTCGGCATTGGTCGTGTAAAATGTTCATCCGTGTACAATTGCAGTTGAAACGCAAGATTGCCAGATTTACAATATTATAAAAAACTTACAGTTATTTAATTTTTTTAAACGGCTTGCTTTTAGTATTTTTACTGCATGTAAATTTTTCTCTGTACTTGTTGAATTTTAACCATCTGTTTTAACCTTTTTTTATGACCTGTAAATGTATATATTTTACCATTTTTCATACTTGTATTGTAATCTGTTAAAAGCAAAGCAAATTTCAAGCCATTTTATGACTTTTTACCAATAAAATTAAATTGAATTCAGAATTCAATTGAATTGTTTGTTTTAGTGGGCCAAATACTTAATAAAATGTTGGTAAATAGCCATGAACGCTTTTCTTCTTGGGGTGGTTCATCAATGAGAATAATTTTGAGTCCAGTCTAATATTATTATTTTTTATTTCAAGTCTCTTAAAAGTTCGGAAGGGGACATTTAAATTATGTCATTTTATAATTGTATACACATGTTTTTCTTTCTGTGCCCCACCCCCTTAAAAATATTATCTGGACCCGCAACAGTACTCAGCCTCGCGGAAAACCAACAATTATTATGGGGAAAGTAACATTTTGTCCGTCTCTGAATTTTTAGTGTTAATAGTCTATAAGTGTTGGTATAGTACCGAGTGGAAATTAGGTGCGGGGGTGACGGCAGTTGTTTTGAGAACTTTGTTTAGAAAATGCTTGAGACTATAGACAATTGTACTTCGAAAATCGAAACTTAGCTTGTAGGCGGAGCCCTGTTCCGGACACCTATGCCGATAGCGCACATGCATCATTATTTAAAGAAAACCAAATGAAATTTGTCCGTAACTGCGAGATGAATTCCATTTTATAATTCGCTGCCACATTTTTTATGATGTTAGAAACAAGCTTTTAACCCAACATGCATTTTTTGAAAGCTTCCAACACACGACTAGGATCGATATATGTATGATGTCATCAAACCTATCATTGAATTTGTAATGTCTGCATTTGAAAGGCGTACTGCTCGCTTTGACCTGAAGATAGTGATTAAATAATGTTGTGTCCATGTTGTGTACACCGGTTTCCTCTTTTTTTCTGATTTTTATTTTTATTGTCGTCCGTATTTTGACCATACCTATCTGTTGGATGTTGTTGTCAAATAAACTGAATTGTGAATTGTGAATTATACACACATCACTGAGGAATAGCTTGTGCTGTCCAAAAGCTCTGGCTATGTTTCTGAATGTAAACTTATGAAATTGTACTGTTGTTTTAAAGTTATTGTACTATTTTACATCTCCGTTCCGGAGGTTTTCTGAATAAATTGAATTTAATAAATTGAAGTGAATTATGTTCACATTTTAGCATTCGCTTCAAAATATGAAGATCCAGTCATTGTTTCCAAAGCATTGGTAGTTTCTAGTGTTTTGCTCTTTAATTTATATATAGGCCTACATATCGTTCTATCCCTCTGCCATTAGGGCATTGAACAAGTCACTTCAGTAGTTTGAATTTTCGTATTTTATGTTTGTTTTTTTGTTAGGGAACCAGACCGAATTTCATTTTATGTGTATTGTACATGTATATATGACAAATAAATCTATTCAGTATTCAGTGGAGAAATGCATGCTGTGGACTAAACTGGACCTTTCCAGAGAGTCAGTCAGACTACTGGCCAACTAGAGCATGCAGAGCCCAAAAAACCGCATTTATCCACAAACACACGTGTTTTCCCACAAACGCAGTACATATGTACGTTACTTTCGTTTTACGCACATGGTACATTGCTAGACTTAGCAGAACAGTCCATTTTGTTTAAGGTTCCCCTTTATCGTTTTGCCATATGCTGTGGAAGTCGGCCTTCATAATAACTGTTCTTTTGTCATCTGTCCTCACCCAGATTTACAGTTTTAATAATAATTGATAAAAACTGATTGTATTTAAACTGATTTTGTATGTGTGTGTATATTTATGCATATATACATACCGTAGGCCTACAACGTATTAATTCGAATAAGTGCCTCAAGGCGTTTATCGTTCAGAAGGGATTTTGAGAGGTACATTTGAAAGGAGGGAGGGGATGTGGGAGGTATACGTGTATTAAATACTATACTGTATATTATACAGTACCTTCCTTCAATATCATATATTATATATATATATATATATATATATATATGTATATATAATAGCCTATTATGTACAGCACAGTATGATAAATGAAACAAAAGTGAATAATAGGTTAATTACAGAACTAATAATTTACTAAACCACACAATAAATCAGGTATTCATCCTTTAGTTTATTAAAGGAAAAACCTTAAATTTAATATATTTTAAGATAAACTCAATTTACAGTTGATTGTGTAATTATTATTAAAACAATTCCTCATTTTATAGTCGTTGCCTAAGCAAATTTAACATCAAATAACTATATTGGAATCAAAAAACCAATAAAAACAATCAAGATACAGCGGTGAACAGATGCATTACTAATTTCTAAACAAAATGATAAAGGAAGCTAAAGTGAGATAGAATGATTTTAAATAATTTACTATTAAAGCACAAATTATTTCAGGTATTCATCAGTACATTCTTCAAGAAGGGTAGGTGGTTACCCTGTCATGCATTGGTCCGTCCAGCCCCTGTCCGTGGCAGCTGTTATGTACCTGTAACCTATAGGATGACCACGCATCAGAAATAATCAAATTTAGCATAAATTAAAATGTTAAATCAATAATGAGAAACAAATTGACAAAGCACGATCAGTAATGAGCATATAGCATATGCCTATATCGCAACCTATTAGATGTCTTGCTCGTCGTCAATCAGTGGTTTGTACTCCAAGCTCCTTTTACGGCTTTTGACGCTTCTTGCAAACAACACACATCCCACAAAAAACGTCATCAGGCCAATTAAAATCATGAAATTTCCTGCTGTGATCGTCTTATTGGTCGATTTATCTGGAAGTAGGAACGTAACATAAAACAATTACAATTATATTATAAACTCAACCTCAAATAATCCTCCTATTAAAACACTATTTGGAATAAACACCCCAGTGAGTTTTTTTTTATTGGTCGAATGAACGTCCCTTCAAAGACTGAACAAACCTAATTAAACCAACACCATTTTATCACCAAATGTACCAATTGTTTACTCTAGAAATATTTAATTACAAACCGGATATAATCTGGGCTTATAAAAACCCTTCAATAAAACTTTTTGATAATCAAAAAGGCGTTTGGAAATATACGTATTTATAAAAAAACAAAAAAATATCTCCCTCGAATATATTCAAACTCTAATCCCCCACGTTCCGAAGACCAAGTAACACCCCTGTTGTTGTTCGAATAAATACGGTAATGTAATAGTACAGTTTTTGTGTAAGTTGGCCTGTTGGTTCACATGTCGCGATGACAAATGAAATGAAATTAGATAGACATACGGTTGAACAGCGCCGTGGCTGCGTCAATCTACTTTTCTCTAAGGCAGTGTAAATAAAGGCTAACTATAGTTCTGTCCACACTAATAAATCTATGTGTGAGAAATGCCCATAAGCTCGATTGTATCATATCACATCCATATATAGGCATGATGATGTCATCATACCCATGTATACAAATCACAGGTATTTCTTACATTATAAATTTGATAATATATATAGATCTGTAGGCCTATTAAATATTTAGGTATATTAAACATAATAATCACCTAATCGACTGAAAGACACATCATCATTATCATGTTTAAGTATTATTGGTCCTAGCATGACCGGGTATGTGTCTCGTTTCAGGTCCGTGTTATCAGCACTTCGTTTCATACGCTGGTTACAGTTAGACGAGCATCGCCAGTCAGTAGAATTACAAACTGACATGTTGCAGTACAGAAATACCTGTAATATAAATTTTGAAATTCATTATGACATACGCAATTTTCTTACTACATATTCTAAAAATATAACAAAAACGTTGCAACAATTGTACACACGATAGTGCAAATACGTAGTAGGCCCTATATTTTATGAATAAATGATTGAATAAACAAATGAATGAATGAATCAGTCAATCCAAACAAGCCACTGGCCACTTAAGGAAAGGGGTTAAGATGTTTGACAAGGAAACAGTTGCCAATATATTTAAAATTATTAAAATAAAAGGAAAACAGCTGGCAAAGATTTCAAAAAGAGGCGGCGAACGACGAACAAAAGAATTTGAAAATGATGGTGTTCTGGATTTAGGAAGTTCAAGAGTGAACGGATGACAACTCCAAGCAAATCGGGTGATTCTGGAAAACCTATGTCCCTTTAATACAGTATTTAATAACGGTATAGGGTGAAAAGGACCTCAAAGAAACTTCAAGGAGCTTGTAAATTGGAGGCGAATTAAACTATTGTTCTATTTTTATAAATTTCTAATTTTATTTCTTATAAAAAGCTAAACTTTCACAACTATTTTTTTAAAAACTGAGATTAAAACGAAATTTAATAGAGTAGAATGTCAATTGCTGGGACAACCAACTTCTCGATCAAGTTCACAACAGAGGCAGAAAGGTTTGAATATTATAAATAATAAATAATGGTAATGAAAGGTGAAACAGAAATTAACTATACCGCAATAGGAAAACACAACAAAACAGAAGCATGCATTAAGAACACCAACAAAGCTCTTCAGAATAGATTCAGAATTTTCTTTTACATATCATTTTAAGATTGGCTAATATGATAATTATGATAGATTTTTAAAGATTACAATCAGTGTAGCATTAATGACAATTAAAAGTTATTTGTTATTGGCTAGGCCTATTAGAAAATCACCTACCGTCGAATAGCCCACGAACCCAAATGTATCGAACGAAAACAACACATTTTTTTTCGAATCACCGACCACTCCCAGGGAATGAAAAATTAACGACGGGTCGTCCAATGAGCACCTAAACAAGAAAAGTAATTCAGTATTTTATTATTTACGAAAATCCTTAATGGCAACAATATATATAG